AAGTCGACATTCCGAAGCTTTGATAAATTAAAACAGATCTTTAAGGCCTCTTCAGGTGGATCACGAGTGCGCTTACAAAGAGGACGAGACGAAACTGCGAAAGCCGTCGAACGGTAATTTGGCGACGAAAGATATAATGCACGTACTGGACACGATGGATAAGCAGGAGTTCAAGAATCTGCACAGGAATCTGCAGGAGTTTCAGAGGGCTCGCAGGAAACTCTTCCTCGAGACGACAAGTCTGAACAGTCTAGACGATATTTCCACTAATCTCTTGGAATCGTTCAAATGATTGTTTTGTTTTATTTTTCGTAATTCCATTTTTTTTTCTCTCGTTAAATATTAAAGTGTCAAAATTATTTGTCAAACGAATTCTCTCTCACACATCGTCTCTTCCGGCAGATGTCTTTTAACTCAAAATTTCAGTGCCCAAAACCATGCCCAAATTCAACAGTACGTCCAGGGAGCGCCATGTGAACTACAACGAGACCCGAGCGGCCTTCGGACCCTCGAAGGACGACACTCTCAATCTGAGCGCGATCTCTTCTACGAAAGACCGTGCACAATATGCGGATCAAATGAGATTTGAAATATTCGCTGACGATGGTTCGAGCTCGCGCATCGCCAGCCCACAGAACGAGAGTCGACAAAGGGGTTTAGGTAAAATAATTCAAACGGATTTAAACGATGAAATCGTAATTATTGTTGTTTGTTAAAGCCATAAGATCTGCTGCGACTCCTCCGCCTGCCTCTCCGGCTTCAAGACGAGCTTCTCCACAGCAGCAGCGAAGAACTCCGAACAATAACACGTTCGGCGGAAGCGATGGTTCGGTTTGAATGAAATAATTTGCGCGCGCTTTGCGATACTAAACGTTTCTGTTGCATTTGTAATTTCAAGTTGGCGGTTGGTTCGGATCGCCTGGACACAATACTGCAGCACCTCCTTCACCATCTTTCTTAGATGAATCTTCGCGCAGAATGCCACCAGGATTGGAAGGTGTTTCAACAAATTATAGCAGCGTTTTCTATAAAGGTATATCAATGAGATAAATGAGAAGTGGCGGATCAATGAATGTGTTACTTGCAGATGGAGAAGGTCCTTCTTCCGACTTTACTTATAGACAGATGATGTATAATTCGTTGCCAGAATATGAGATGCCAGGATCTACACCTCCTCGTCGTGCTCCTCCTCAGGCTTTCACGAGGAGCGCGCCTGGTGCGCTGCATCCAGCTGCGCCGCCAATATTCGCCTGATCTGTCGTCGTCGTCGTGTCGTCCGGGAACACCGTGTTCTTCAGCAGGATCATCGCTTCAGCAATCGAGATCCGATGACCCGAATTTCACGGAGAACTATCGCGCCGGTCTGCCCGATCATCTTAAGCCTCTTTTGCTGTCTAGGAAGGATATGGAGCAGAGAGCGATGCAAATGAGAGCTGCTGGAGTCGATCCCAATTCTAGCTCGTTCATGCGTAACGTGTTGCCTGATAATTTCAAGCACATCGTACCATCATCCAAGCAACCCTTACCAGATTTATCCGCCTACGATCCAAACGCCACTGCGAATATGCGAGCCGGACTGCCGGAACATCTTAAGCCTCTTTTGCTGTCCCGAAAAGATATAGAGCAAAAAGCGAGAGACATGAATTTACTGCCGCCACCGTGCGTCGCGAGGTCCTCTCCTCAGAGGCAACCGCAGTCTCCTCAAGCATCAATGGTTGCCAGCCAATCACCAATGGATGGCAGCTTTCAACCAATGTTTCCCGGTCTAGTGCCGACGCCTCCTCCTCCTCCCATCCAATCACCGATCGCTTCCAGACAACAATCACCGGTGGCTACCAGGAGGCACTCACTGACGGTGCCCAGGAGGCAATCGATGACGGATCCCAGACTGTCGACGACCGCTCCAGCAGGAATTGCTCCCAAGCAAGCATTCAAATGGCCTCCAATACCTCCCAAGCCAATACCACACCAGTTTTTAATAAACGCTCCCAGGAGGCAATCGCAGCCGGCTCCCAGGAGGCACTCACTGCCGGTACCCAGGAGGCAATCAATGACGGATCCCGGACTGTCGACGACCGCTCCTGCAGTTGTCAATCCTTTGAGTGGAAAGTATACGGATTCCATGTTGAATGAAACTCAGTACAACGTTCCGGAGTTCCTATTGCCACCAACGATATTGCCGATGCCAGGCGGAGGACAGCAGCAGCAGCAACAGCAGCAACAACACGCTACCTCTCTTCCATTGCAACCGCAAGAAGGACAAAGGAATGCCATGTCCTCGACGATGCCTCTTCCGAGGAGGGAAGGACGAACCACCACCGAAAGACAGGTCACTGGTCCTCAAGGGACGACGAGGCAAACGACCGTGACGACGGTAGACGACGAAAGGAGATTCAGGAAACGCAAGCGGGAATTCGAACTTTACTGCACGGTACGAATGAACGGTTTCCTTCACAAGCACACCAAGCAACTGGAGGCGGTGATAAACGGGTACAGGGGTGGATCCATGGACGAATTGAGCGGCGTAATGAACCAACTGATTAGAATGCAAACTGAAGAGTTGACCGCCTTCAGCGACGACATGGTGAACATCCAGAAAGCTCTACTGAAAGCCCACAACAATCAAGTGGTAAAAACGCAAGAGTCTAAGACCACCGCACCCGGACAAGTTATAACCGAGAGGACGACCGTGGAGGTACCCGCCGGTCCCGAGGACAACAACATCGCGGAAATCCTGCGTCTGGATCCGTCGATGCCGCAGAGTGAGCAACCGCCGGACGAGAGGTTGGGTCACATCATCGTCGAAACTGTGCAGCAGCAGAACGACGCGTTAGAAGAACTGGAGCAGGTGATGAAGAACGAACTGGAAGAGAATCCGTCGCCGGAGACGCACAGGAAACACGAGCAGATCATCAAGCAGGCGAAAATAGAGTTCAAGGAGACGCTGATGGAGACGTTCAACGAGATGAGGGATGAGTATCAGGCGGAGAAGTCTCCGGAAGTGCACAAGCATCTGCAGCAAACGAAAGAAGGTGGTGGTGGTGGTAACGATTTGTCGAAGCAGATGCTTGAGCTGTTGATCACGCAAGCCGGCGACATCGAGGAATTGAAGTCGAAGCAGCGAGTGATGCAGGAGCAGAACCCGGATCAGGATATGACGGAGAGACACGAGATGGAATTGCAGACGATGCGGGATTACCATTTGGCGCAGCTGAACGAGCAATGGGAGAAGTTTCAGAAGGGACGTGCGGGCAGAAAGAAGATGGCAACAGCAGCATCATCGTCGGACAACAGTTCGCAATTCAAGCCGGGCATCGCGAGTTCACCCAAGTCGAAGAACGCGAGCAGCGGACAGCAGTGCAACACGATGAAGCAATCGGAATCGCAGCAAACCAGTAAGCAGCAGTTGTCGAGTGGTGGTGTTGGCAAGGGTGTCGGGATATTCACAGCTCATCCGGTGGGAAGTGAGAATTGTTTGTGTTGCTCTTGTCAGGCGAATAACAGTTGTAGTTGTGGACGAGGTGGTAGTGGAGGTAGTGCTGGTAAAGGTAGAGGACACGGTGGACATGAACATGGAAGGAGCGGCAGCGGTGGTAGCGCTGGTGGTGGATGCAATTGTAAAATGTTTTCGGATTTGGATGATATTGAAATGGCCGAGAAGGAGGAGTTGCATAGGAGTTTGAAGAGATGGCAACTATCGAGGAGGGACATTGTCTCTTCCATTTGCAAAAATTGAGTTTAATTTGATGTCGTCCTACTCTTACATCTCATATTCACACGCACACATTATTTTTTTCTGCATATTTATTTCGGATGAAAAAAAAATAATAAATAAATAAATATTTGTTTGTCATTGGCAAATATCGAGTCTCTGACAAACTGACCGTCTCCGTTATGTGTCAAAATTTCTCGTTTCAGCACTTTGTTTCTCGAACCTCTTTCGTGCAAATCTTTCGTTTCATAACAATGGGTAGCAAGAAAATTATTGTACCTCAGGGTCTGATCAATCCGAACGAGACGACGATCATCGAAATACCCGCCGGCGTGGACAGCGAGGCGACGCTGATCGCGAGGTCTTCGCCGAGGACGTGCGAGGAGATGTTCCAGCCGGGATGCGCGTCGACGCCGAGGACGAGGAGGGTGACGACGGTGCCGCCGGCGAGACCGCAGAGCGCGTGTCCTGGTAGTGGAGGAGGTGGTGGTGGAAGACAGATGAGGCAAGTCACGTCGACGACGATCATCACCAACGAGGACGACTCTTCGTCGCTGGGTATCCTCGATTCGAATTACATGAACTCGTCGGGTGGAAGATCGGGCGGAAGAAGCGGGCAACAATCGTCGTTGGGGGTTTTAGGTGAGATCATTGTTGCGAATGTGAATGTGAGTTAATTGTATGGAATTCAGGTTCCGGTTACATGGATGGCACCGGGTTGTGTCCGGCGAGCAGGAACGCGACGATGGGGTCTGGGTATATGGACAGCACGAGGACGTCGGATAACGGCGGTTGTATGAGTGGTGGTGGTAATTACATGGACAGCAGTGGCGGAAGGACAAACAACACGATGGGGATTTTGGGTTCCGGTTACATGGACAGCACGAGATCGACGAATCAGTCTTCGTTTGGGGTTCTCGGTTCGGGATACATGGATAGCACCAGATCGACGAACCAGTCGTCGCTGGGAATCTTGGGTTCCGGCTACATGGACAGCACCAGGTGCGGCGGCGGTGTAAGTGCGTCGCCGTCGCCGAAGCGAGTCAAGAAGATCGTCAAGAAAGTCGTGACGGAGACGCCGCAGAGTTCCAACAATTCGCACTCTCTGGGACTGCTACCCAATTCTTACATGAACGACACCAATTTGAGTTTGTGCGGTCGGTCCGGCGGCAGCGAGAGCAAGAAGAAGGTGACGAGAGTCACGTCGGAGACGATCATCGACGAGGGCGACAGCCAAGAGAGCGCCGGTCTCTTGAATTCAGGGTACTTCGATAGCACGCATTCGTCTGGAGCGTCGCGATCTATGGGGTTGCTGCCTGGCGCTTACCTCGACTCGCCTGCACAACAAGACTCGTGCCCGTCGCGGAGGGCCGGCAGAAGGTGTCCCGGCTCAGCCGGATCGAATCGTAGCCAAGGTGGTGGCGGTGGTAACAGCACCCAGCAGAATCTCACGATGGAAGTGCAAAGACATCTGTCTGAACTCGAACAGAACGAACGGAATCAGATCAATCGCGATCTGGTGATGTTCCAGCAGGCTAGGAGACGTCTCGTCCACGACGCGACGAACATCTCGAGTTCAGGCGAATCTCAGATGAACTTCAGCGGCGGCAACAGCAGCAGCAACAATAAGCGCATGTAACGAAATCAAAACGCCCGTTGTCAAAAACGTAAATCTCACAATTTTTTTGACGTATCTCCCACTCTCTCGCGCATCAGTCAAATTATATATATATTTTTTTTTTGTTGTTGTTTATTTTTTATTTTTTACAATTCTCGACGTTCTCCTCTCCTCTCGCCAAATGACTTCGTAAAAATTATTTCCGTGTATTTAAATGCGAAAAACGCACAATGTCCTGTTGCAAGAAGGGCGGCAATAATAAGCCCGTGCAGAAGGTGGTGATACCGAAGGGAATGATCAATCCCGGCGAGACGACGATCATCGAGATCCCGTCCAATTTGCAGAAGCAACCGATCGTCGTCGCCAAACGGAAGACGTCGTTGGATTCGTTCAAGAACGCGTCGCAGTCGGGCGGCAGGAAATGCTGCAAGGATCAGGGAGGGAAAGGCAACAACACGCCCAACGGCAAGGACAAGAAGGGAGGCAACAAGAATGCGAACGCGTAAGTCTACAACAATAAGTTGTAGTGAAAAGCAATAGTGTGAGTGAATGTGTGTGTTTTGTAGGGCGACGTCGAACGAGCTAGAGATTACCGAACGCAAGGAACGGGAGCAATTCTTGAAGGATTTAGAGGAATTCCAGAAGGCGCGACGAAAGTTGCTGGCGAACGCTTCGTTTCTGGCCGGCGAGAAGGGAAATTGTTGCAAGAAGTGAACAACAGTTCTCTTATAAACAACCAACAATTCACACGCACGCACATATGAAGTAGTAAAAATTTTGTTTTCAAACTCTCCTTTTCTTTTTATGCCCTAATAATCATTGATGATTGTTGTTGTTGTTGTACCTTTATTATTTATCATTACTACTACATGGTTTCTTTTTTTGGTCTGTTTGTTTATTCACATCTCGCGTTCCAACGTCGCTTTCCTCATGCACTTCTCGACCACCATCGATTGACTTGGTGCGTTCGGCCTCTTCGGGCACAGTTTTCCGGTCAGATGTGCCCTGGTCACGTAGATCTTTCGAGCGGAGACCAGAGGCGTCGTCGAACCGAAATGAAACGGAGGTTTCGTGTGATTCCAGACGGTGTTGGTGATGTCGTGCTGGTCCATCGACACCTCCTTGTCGTTGAGTGAACCGTCCACGAAGCAGATGTCGCTGTCGTCCTGGGCGCAACCGCACGACTCCTCCGGCGGATCCTTGTTGGTCTTGTTGCTTTTCGTCGCGCTGCTCAGACTCGAAAGCGTCGAACGACTACTACTCATGATGATTGTTGTTGTTGTTGTTGGAAGAGGAGGTAGCAGTAGCAGCAGCAGCAGCAGCAGATACTTCAAATTTTGAAAGACGTGATAGAGCGAAAGCACCTAGGCAACAGAAAATATTGATTAACACGTTAAGGACGGCGCTTTTCGGGTTGCCTGCACTGTTCCCAAAAAAAAATTTTTCGTGGACGCCTATGGACTGAGAGAAACGTCAAATATCTTACGTCAATTATAACCTTTAAACGTTTAAATTTTTCTTATACATTTTTTTTAGTGATATTGAAGCAATTTATAAGAATTGTGGGAAAAATATTGAAATTTTCATAAAGTTGTTACATATTGCGCACAGTGTTATGATCAAACGACACTGTGTATCAAATGTTTTGAAGATGTTCATAAAAATAAATAAACATTTCTATTATTGAATGATCCTATTTTATTTTTGTTATATTCGATAAATATACTCAACAGAGGGTTCGAATTTTATTGAAACGCGGAAAAAGTACTATAGGTTTTATAATAAGCAATAATAATAATTGAGCTTGTATTGTATTTGAATAAATGTTTTTTTAGAAACAGAAATAATATCTGCTTCTGATAATCATATTGTATTTTCAATGCCTTTGCGCTTCGATAACTTAGGAGCTGAGAAGCGGCAGGTAGCATTGAATGAAAATTTCAAATATGTTTCGCAAGTTAATTTGTAAAGTATGCCTAAATTATGTCACAATATCAGGTATTGTTCTAAATTGCTTCAAGAATTATTAAAATATGTATAAGAAATGTATTGGCGTTTGAAGTTTGTAATTGACTTAAGATATTTGAGGTTATTCTCAGTCAAAATCAGTGGCGTATATAGCAACAAAACTATTATTTATAATTAATGACCCACCGGTGGGTCATGCCGTCGTCAATGTGTTAAATATAACAAAAATATAAAAGGATCATTCAATAACAGAAATATTAGGATTTTCAGTATTTATATTATATTGAAAATGTACGCGATATAAAATTTTCAAATGTACTAAGTATATTTCAATATCGATTCATTTTTTTGACAGTTCAGAATAAATTATAAATGTCACAGGTGCCAACTTGATAAAAGATGAAAATGGACTTACTTTCACTTTCAAAATTAGGATTTTCAGTATTTATATTATTTTGAAAATGTACGTGATATAAAATTGTACAAATGTACTAAGTATATTTCAATACCGATTTATTTTTTTTTTGACAGTTCAGCATAAATGTCACAAGTGCCAACATGATGAAAATGGACTTAAGCCACT